GTAGTTGAATGCCAGAGAGCAAAAGACAACTCATCTCTTCTCTTCCTTTCAGAACGAGCTCTCCGGGTTTGTGAATTACATCCTGCTGCAAGTGCTGAGCAACTGGGGCCACCCGGACTACACCTGCGTGTATCGGTTCAGGGTGCACGGTGATCCTCTCAGCGAGGAGGGGAAGGTGCCACTTCGATCTGACAACAAAGCTCCTTGATTGTCATTGAGTGTTTTGCCTGTGATAATAAAGCTCCTTGATTGTCATTGAGTGTTTTGCCTGAGATGCTAACGGGTAAGAGAATTCCTGCCCTTCTCTCCACCCACAAGCTTATGGGAGACTTCCCTGGAGGGAGAGGTGATGGGAAAAAGGACTAAGAACTGTTTCCTACGGACACATTAGTTTGGGGGGTTACACACACAATGTGTGTGCAGTTCAAGTGAAAAAAGGCTCCCGAAGACTCCAAAACGGGCAATAGGGAACCCCAACGTTTACCCTTAAAGGCTCCCCCCATCTTTTTGACCCCAGTATAGTCCCTGGGTCCCCAAAATATAGACCAGGGACCTCCAAATGCCAGCTCAAGTACTCCTAAAATGCCCTTTGGGGACCCAAAATGGCCCAGGGACCCCAATATACCCCTCAGGGACCCCCCCAGATTGGCCTTAGGGACCCCAAAATTTACACCCAGGGATCCCCCAAATCCTTTTGATGCCAAAATAACCCCTGGGGAACGCCAAAATACAGCCCATGGATCCCCAAATCCCCCCAGGGCCTCCAGAATGCCCTTTGGGGACCAAAAATGGCACCAAGGACCCTCAGGTTGCCCAGAGAAGTGGTAAATGCCCCATCCCTGGCAGTGTTCAAGACCAGGTCGGACAGAGCCTTGGGTGACATGATCTCGTGCGAGATGTCCCTGTTTTCAGGGGATTAGAAATGGATGATCTTAAGGTCCTTTCCAACCCTAACTATTCTATGATAATACCCCTCACAGACCCCCCAGAACAGCTCAACGCCCCCAGACAGGCCCCCAGCAACCCTAAAACTCCACAGGAAACCCAAACTCCCCAGAGATCCCCAAACAGGGCTGTGGGGCCTTCCAAAACTCCCCCCCTAGAGATTCTTAAATGGCTTACAGCACCCCAAAATGGCCCCAGAAGAAGTCAAAATGGCCTCCAGAGACTCAAAAATGAGCCTCAGGGACCCCAAAATCCTTCTGACGTGAAAATAATCCCATGAGATGCATCAAAATCCCCCCTGGTGCCCAAAACTCTTTTGCACGGACCCCAAAACACACTTCAGGAGACCAAAAATGGCCCACAGAGACCCCAAAATACAGCTCAGGGTCCCCAGGATCGTCCCCCGCGGCACCAAAACCCCAAAGGAACCTCTCCAGCACCATGGTAGACCCCAAAGAAGTCTCAGGGGCCCCCAAATTCCCTCCAGAGAGACCCCCAAAATGAGGCTCACAGACACAGAATGGCTCAAAAAACAGTTTGGGGACTAAAAATAGCACTCAGGGACCCCAAAATGGCCCCCAAGGAGCCCCCAAATCCTTCTGACTCCAAAATAAAGCTAAAGAACCCCAAAAGTGGTCCTCAGGAACCCCTAAATTAACCCTTGGGGACTCCCCTGATCCTTTTGATCCAGATCCTTTTAACCCCTGAGGAGCCCCAAGCTCAGGGACCCCAGAATACCCCAAGAACCCCCAGATTCCCTTTGGGGACCCAAAATAGCCTCAGGGTCCCCCAAAATATAGCTAGAGGACCCCAAAACCTTTTAGTTTAATAACAAGTATATTTAAGATGACACGGGCTGTCCAAAGAATAAATCCTGCTTTGCAAAATGGGATTAAAACAAGCAGCACGTTTTTAAACGGAGCGAACAGACGCATCCACCTCCGAATCATAGTTCAATGTGTAGGACATCCAGCTGAGATGAAAGTAGTTTAGTCCTGTAGAATTCAGGACTGGAGTGAAATCAGTCTTTCTCTCTCTGTTCAGTAGCTCTCGTTGAACTTGTCCAACATAGTACGAACGGATAATAGCCAATCACTTATTTCTAATAGAAACGATTATCAGTCTGTGTTTTGGGGTTCACAGTCTGTTCAGAGTCAGTTCAAACAAGGTATTTCATAGCAGTTTTGTGGTGCCTCCAGGTTTTCATTCATGCTCAGGAAAGGCTTCCTGATAAATGGCCATGAGGAGAGCAGAGACAGAAGGGCACGCTGCAGCCCAGGCATGCACATGATGGCCATCCCCACCGCTCATGAGGTCCAGGTCTTCACAGGACCAGGGCTGCAGCGGAGAGCAAGACTAGTAGCCACAGACCTGCATTGGGTGCAGCATCCCACGACAGGGAGATAGGGCAGGATCCCCAGCGAGGGACCTGCGGCCCAACAGCACACAAGAGCACACGCACGGCACCCACCACCACCTGCAGCAGGATTGCATCGCATGTGCCACAAGAGACTTGGAAGTAACTTGGAAAAATGAAGGTACAAAAGAGCTATCTTAAGGTTGCACGATCCACCGAACGGAGGCCACAGTCCTCTACGGTGGTCATTGACATTTGTGTCTTGAGGATCTTTGATGTTCCCACATCCTGTCATTAGCGAATTCTCCTTTTATTGGTCAAAAGAAAGGCAGAACTGCAGTTCTTTATTCAAGTAACCTTCCTCCATGCTGCAAAAGGAGAGGCAAGGGGAGCAGAGCCCAGACGCATGGACTGCACGTTTGCACTTGACTGGAGCTGGCTCACAGGGGTGCAGCCAACACGACGTTTAAAACAGAGCTGCTGAAACCTCCTGCGTATCACGTCTTCACCCAAAGCAAGGACAGAAAGCCTGCACCCCCCTGCCCTAACCCCCCAAATGTGACTCTGCATCAGGGACTGTAGCAATAGGACAAGGTGTAAGGGGTTTAAACTGAAACAGGGGAAGTTTAAGCTCAGCGGCTCAGGGCAGCGCTGGGGCCACCACAGTGGTGAGCGAGCCCCTGGGGAGTTGGAGACAGAGACACACAATACAATAGGAATTACTTCCTCTGCCCTGATGCTGCTGAGTGTTATCCTCTGATGAGGACGATGTGGTGGCAGCTGTTTCAGTGATGTGCAGCGGCTGCGCTGCACTCGCTCTGCTTTAGGGAATGCCAGCTAAAATGGTTATCCCATCCCCTAAGACTTAGATTCTTGCTGTTGTTAGCCTTTCTGGAAAAGCAAATGAGGAGCAGAGGCAGAGGCAGCCCTCACATGAATGGTCAGGAGCCAAAAGCCCCCTTGCCCCGCCTCCTCAAAGGTGATTGTCTGTCCTGGGCCCACTGACAGCCATCAGGCAACGAGCTGGGCTTCCGGGTTCCCCTCTTGGGCGGGGAGCTGCAGCCGCGAGGCGAGGCCGCGGCCTGAGGACGAGGAGGGTTCCGGCCCTAAGGCGGCGGCTTCGGACACTGATCCGGTGGAGTGGATGCTGCGAGTTGCGCTGCGGGCCCTGGAGACATCGAGCCGGCGGCATTCCTCCCCTTTCCAGCGTCACAGAGCGCAGGCGGGGAGCGTGAAGGCGCTCCTCTCACCCACACGCCCTGGGGAGCCCTCTGAAGACAAAAAGACGAGGAAAACGTGCCCCCAAAATACAGGGGCTGTTTCTGCATTCAAATCACGGGCAGGAAGGTACCTCAAGGTGCCCCTGTGTGAAAATAACCCAGAGTTGATGTGAGCCTTTCTGGAGCATGAGCTTGTTGTACAGGAAGGGATGTGGAGGTGGGCTGGGCTGTAGAGCTGGGGCTCACATCCAGCACAGGAGCAAGCAGGCTGTGGCATCTTCATCCCTGGAGGTGGCTGCTGGGGACAAATGCCCCCCAGCAGACAGAAGCACCCACCCATGGGACACGACACCAGGGCACCTGCAGGCAGCGCACAGGGGCACCAGGGAAACACACACCCTTGGTGTGATCGTTTCAGCTTTATTGATGGAGTCAGGGCCGTGGTGCTGCGGTGGCACAGAAACATCGGTGGCCGGAGGGCTCTGCTGCTAACACTGGGCACAGGTCAGCAGCAGGTCCTCTTCAGAGAAAGCAACATGTCCTGGGAGCCTTTCCAAAGGGCCCTTGTAGCTGCTGTGAACTGAGGCCCCGTGACAATGATGGTAATGTTGTCATTGTGCAGCTCTGTAGCAGTTACTACCCAGAGTTTGGGTATCGTAAAGCATGCTCAGGGTACAGAGCCAGAGGTCCTTGCTGTCCAGGTGCAAAGTAGGAACGCTGCCACCTCTGATGGGAGGATACGGTCTGGTTTTGGAGGATGTTTCCCCTCGTGCAGAGGAGCAAAACCTGCTCCCCCTCATGTTGGACTTTGCCTCAAAACACAGTGCTGCCTTCCTGTCGTGACGTTGCCTGCTGCCGCTGATGTCACAAAGCACTGTTGGTGTTGAGGCAGACACAGCAGGGTGGAAGATCAGATGTCAAGAGACTGCAGCTCTTGAGGAAACAGACACCACAGTGGTTGGCTTGCTACTGAGCTAGCAAGATGCCTGTTGCCTGCACCTCAGTGCATAAAGAGAGAAAGTCATGGTGGAGCCAAGTTCTGAAAGGGTATGTTTGAACCCTCTGCAGAATGGGTTACGACCCTGAGCTTTCCTGCTTCTTGGAAGACCATAAGAGGACTGTTTATTTTTAATGAAGTGCATGCTGTGAGCCTGTTAGAACAAGCAGGAGGACCTTCCATCTTCCAGAGCGGTGTGTGCTGTCTCTGGGCAGATCAGGCTTCGTGGCACATTGGACTAGCCACCAAGATGTTTCCTTGGTATTTCCTTAGTTCCACATGGATTACCAGCATGCTTTTACATTCATCCCTCCCTCCATCTTCACCCAGTCTGCATTTGCCTGCATTTATGCAAAGAAAAGGGCCAGTGATAGCCTGGCTGCTAAAGAAATGCTGCTGAAGGGGAGATACAAAACCCCTCCTGCCTTGTGAGCTCTCGAACTGTCGGGGGATAGGCTGAAGCCTCTCTACCGCCACGGACATGAATTGTGGTCGCAGCTTTTGTTGCAAGTCCTTCTTCTATTCCCGAGTTAATCCAGAGCCCTTCGTCACTAACCCAACAGTGCCAGCTGCTGTTGTACCAAATACCCCGCTGGTGCTGTTGGTGACAACTCAGCTTATGCAGGACCAAGGCAATCCTCACTCCAGGAATGCTAGGTTCAAGACCTGCCGTCCCTACTGCTGCTCTCAGGTCTGCTGCTGAACTGCATGGGTGCCACCAGCTTCACCATCCTTTTCCTCTTTGCTGCTCCGTAGGCAAACGAAGGCTCTGAAGACAGTGGTGCTGCTGCTGCTCATGAGTCTGCTCTTGTTCGGTGAGTCTCGGTGGAACTCGGAGCTGAGGACTGTGCTTTAGGAGATAGGGCTCCATGCGCTCTGACCAGAGTAGCCCAGCAAAGAGTAGGAAGAACCGAGAGAGGTGTGCCAGTCCCCCACGCTTCAGAGGAATGGGTGCGGAGGCACGGAAGGGCTCAGCCACTTCTCTTAAGGCGATGGAGGGGCAGCGGCTAACCTCCCCTGCCCCCGGGAGCTGAAAAGCTTCTGCGGGACAAGGAGCATGTTCCGTGGGAAGGAATATCTGTGTACTGTGGAGCCCTCTTTCACAACCTTTTTCAAAGACTACAAGAGGAGAAACAACTATGGCACCTGGGAGAGCCAAGGAAAGGGGAGCCGAGGCGTAACCCAGCCTTAGACCAAGTTCTAAGTGTAAGGAGAGTTTTGGTGTGTGTCTAACAGGTGTTCACCACGTGGGACTGCTGGGTGAAGAAGGCCTCTGGAGGGCTGCAGCAGGATGCCAGGCCTTCATCTCCTCCTACATTCGGCATCCCCAACAGCAGGTGACGTTCAGGTTTCTTCAGATCGAGACTGGTTCTACCAGGACATAAAGTACCACTCAGTAAAACACTGTGGCTAGGGCTGGGGACAGTTGGCATCCTGGCAGGTCATTCAGGTGAAGGTCAGCTGGACCGAATATCAGTGTCTCCACAGCCCGTGGCACTGCACACAGCCGATAAAAAGAATTATTAGGCAGACTTGGGCCTGCATAGGTTCCAGCAAAGCACTGCTCTGTTGCCGTTTGTGATGACTGTTCCCTTCACTGTTGTTCCAGGAGTGTTTCCACCTCTCTGGATGGGACCAGAAGGCTCGGAGGTACAGATTATTTCCTCTTGACTCGATGGTGATTTAGAGGAGCTCTGCCCCTGGGCCTCACCAGGACATTGTTTCTGTCCTGCCTCACAGAGACTTCACCTAGCACAGCTTCCTGACCTTCTCCCGTTGCCCTTTCTTCCTGTCTGTCAAACGGTCACCTATAGCTCCCCACATCCACTAGAGGACTGGGGCCACCCATCTGTCACCCTTTTGCTTGGCCTGGGCTGTTTACAGCAAAGCAGGGGAGAGAGATGGTGTGGAGAAGAACCATCTGGCAGCAGCAGCCACCTTTCCCTTGCCCTCTGTGTGTCTTGCAGCTTTCCTTGTTTATGTCTGAGCTGTTCTAGTTAGTATTTTCTATAGGGAATACCACCTGCTGCCCTTCAGATCTGCTCTTGCCTGGCTTTGATAAGACATTGGCACATGTAATAGGGAGCGTGGCGGCTTTGGGCACACTGGAGGTGTTCCTCAGTTTCCCCAAATGTTCCCGGGCAGCCAGGAAGCTGCTGCTCAGCCTGAAACTCTAAGCACTTTGGAACTACCTCTCCCACCTGCTTAAGACATGCCTGCCCTGCCAGTCATTCAGAGCCAGGCTTCTTAACCTTGCTCACACGCCCGTGGTGTTCCAGAAGCCAGCCACAACAGTTACAGTCTCTGTTTCTTGCTTTTCTAGGCCAGCAGGGAACGACATAGGAGAAGAACTGAGCAGAGCCCAGACCCTCAAAGAACAGCTCCAGAAGCTCCAGGAAGAGTTTTATCACCTGCATTGGAGCATAAAGGATGTCACCGAGCGTGCTCTCCATGAAGCCCTGAAGCAGTCTAAGCTCCCAGGCTTTTCTGGATTAGTAAGGGCATGCTGCAGAAGGCTCTCCTCAGAGGTTTCTTTCCTCCCTCCAGACAGTTCCCTGTCCTGGCTAGCCAAAAGGCTGGCGTGGCTGGAACAAGTGCTGTGCGTGACCACGCTTCCTTTCCTCTTGCTCCACACTTCTGTATGGGGGAAGAGAGCGCCGTGATGGGAGTTACAGTTGCTTTACTTACACCTTCCTCAGAGTAGAGCAAGCCTGGGAGGTTTCCAGGCAATCTGGGCGTTCCTCACAGCTGAGTTGAACCTCATCCCCCTAACCCTTGGCTGGCCTTGCAGGGGAGATGATTGTCCCATTCCTTTCCCTGCTAACAGGCGCTTGCCTTTGTTCTCTTCCCCAGGCTGTTCAAGAGGTCATCAATCAAGTCTTGGAGAAGCTGGAAGAAAGCCAAGTCCCAGTGACTGATTACGCCCTCAGATCATCAGGTGCTGTGCCATTGTACACAGACTCGTTCCAAAGTGCTTCCTGTGCCCACTGACGAGATGGGCCCTGGAACAGGCTCAGTGGTAGGAGAGAAAGGGCAAGAAGTCAAGGGCCACAGCGTGCCCTAAAAATGTACCCATTGACGGACTCTGGAAGCGGCTGGACTCCATCTGAAGAGCAGAAAGCCTAGCTGACGTTGCAGCTGACATTACCACAGCCTGATGAGTCCCTGCTCTGTGTTCCAGAGGGGTCACGCCAGGAAGAAAGAGGGGAATCTCACTGCAGGAGATGGAGGACTACTTAAAAGCATTTCTCAAGTGAACAGTGCAATATTCCTCCTGACACTGCTCAATGATCGTGCTCATGTTTTAATTTCCAGGGGCTGCTGTCATTCCCGAATGCACAAGTCCATCCTTCCGGAATAGGGCAGAAAAAGTCATCTTGTATTCCCTGCCACTGGTGGATTATGTGAGATCTCCTGAGCTTATTCTTGAGGTAGGAGCACCAAGAAGCAGGAAAAAAAAGCAAAAGGGGGGGTGGGGGGGATGCGCACATGCTGCTGAGAGCTGCCTTTACCCTTATCTTTGCTCCTCAAAGCTTTCTTTTCCTGTCACATTCTTGTATGGACCCACTCACTGTCCCCCTGCTGAGTATTTCCTCTCCCAGACTGCCTCAGGTCCTCCGTTTGAGCTTCTAGCAGGCAGGCTTGGTCCTGCAGCCTTTGTCTTCCTCGTCCCTGTGCAAACTGTCAGCATGGCTGAGAGCCTGCACTGCTGGAGGGCCCCACTCTGTGTTGGCAAGCCCTCCTTGGCACTGATCGTGGGAACACACCCAGCTGCCTGCCTTCACAGTGCTTCTGCAGTGCTGAAGGGGTCTTGTAACATGTGGATTCTCACAACGGCTGCTCCGTTTGGTACTGGCAGGGTCTGACCCAAGGCATTGGATGCTGTTTGGAGCAGAGCTGATGGGCCAGATCAGTTCTTACTCCATGATGCTCATGGCAGAAACGAAAGCCGGGGCACTCTTCTCCACGGGAACGTACTTTCTTCTTCTCCTTTCAGAAGGAAAATCATCTAGGAAACTGCTGGCCCTTCCACGGAAGTCAGGGACACGTCCTCATCAAGCTCTCTGTGCCAGTCATTCCCAGAGCAGTCACCATGGACCATGTCTCAGGGCCAGAGCTCCATGGAGACAGTATGTCCAGTGCTCCAAAGGACTTTGCTGTCTACGTAAGTGATTTCTCTGAGTTGGGGGCAGAGGGTTGCTCAGCATTTCTAAGCAGGGGGTGAAGACGGGTCAGAACCCAGAGGCCTGCGGCTCCCTCTTGCCTTGCAGAAGAAACAGGCTCCTTGGAGTTGCTCCCTTTCCACTGGATTCCTCTTTTATCCAATATAGCACACAAACGGAAGCTTCTGGGCCAAGACTCTGTGTGCCCCAGGCGCCACAGGGAAAATGAGCTGGCACAGTGTCTGCCCCTTGGAACTTCTTGGCTCCCAACGCCAGTGAGCATTGGTGATCCTCAGGGATCGTTACCCTGGGAATGTCTGCTCCTTTTCTGACAGCCTACACTCGTTAAGTAGGCAAGTGTGGCAGCATGCTGGCTAGCTTCAGCTTCTCGTCTTTTCCTTGTGATTATCTTCCTTGGACTATGCAGATGAAATGAATCAGGACTTCACCAACAGAAGTTAAGTCTTCCCATGGTGGACCAGGGCACTCATGTTTTCTCCACCCCATCTTTCTCTAGGGGGTGACGGAAGAAAAGGAGGAGCAGTTCCTGGGACAGTTTGTTTTCCTGGCACCACTGAATCCCACCCAGACCTTTCGGCTAAAGGTACGGGGACAAAGAGGGAGGAGAACAGAGAGGGGAGGAGAGCAGAGGGGAGGAGAGGAGAGCTGCACTTTGCTGGGGAGAAGCTTCCGTGCCAAAGGGCTCGAGGCAGCATTCTCCCGGAGAATGCCATGTGCCATGCTGTCCCTCCTTCTGCTTTAATCTCCTAATGGCATATGCCTGGAATGCATTCTGCTTCACTTTTGGTTTTAAGCTTCAGTGCTGACAACCACCGGTGCTGAAGCTGAAATCAGCTTGGCTGTCTGGACTCCAAGTGCCTACAGGTGGCCACATCCACTCGGAAGACACTGCTACTGGCCTGCTCGTTAAAGACTAGAAATACGGGGCTTTCTGAGGATGCTGTTGTTTCTGGTATCGAGGCCAGCTAGACAGCGAGGCCATTCTGTGCCATGGCTTTCTAGAGAAGGCAATGAGACATGATAGGGACACCACTGGGTCTTCTGACAGGGGAAGCATGTGCCCCAAAGTAGGCTAGAAGTGATTGCCAATCGAGTCAGTACAATTTCAGGTAGATTCCTGAAATTTCCTTTCCTGTTCTTTTGGCCAAATGAGGTAGAGCAGTGGAAGAATGTCTCGGCCACAACCCTCCCAGGGCAGTCAGGTGTTGAACAAGTCCATTGCTGCAGCACTACGTCAGTAGTTGAATGCCAGAGAGCAAAAGACAACTCATCTCTTCTCTTCCTTTCAGAACGAGCTCTCCGGGTTTGTGAATTACATCCTGCTGCAAGTGCTGAGCAACTGGGGCCACCCGGACTACACCTGCGTGTATCGGTTCAGGGTGCACGGTGATCCTCTCAGCGAGGAGGGGAAGGTGCCACTTCGATCTGACAACAAAGCTCCTTGATTGTCATTGAGTGTTTTGCCTGTGATAATAAAGCTCCTTGATTGTCATTGAGTGTTTTGCCTGAGATGCTAACGGGTAAGAGAATTCCTGCCCTTCTCTCCACCCACAAGCTTATGGGAGACTTCCCTGGAGGGAGAGGTGATGGGAAAAAGGACTAAGAACTGTTTCCTACGGACACATTAGTTTGGGGGGTTACACACACAATGTGTGTGCAGTTCAAGTGAAAAAAGGCTCCCGAAGACTCCAAAACGGGCAATAGGGAACCCCAACGTTTACCCTTAAAGGCTCCCCCCATCTTTTTGACCCCAGTATAGTCCCTGGGTCCCCAAAATATAGACCAGGGACCTCCAAATGCCAGCTCAAGTACTCCTAAAATGCCCTTTGGGGACCCAAAATGGCCCAGGGACCCCAATATACCCCTCAGGGACCCCCCCAGATTGGCCTTAGGGACCCCAAAATTTACACCCAGGGATCCCCCAAATCCTTTTGATGCCAAAATAACCCCTGGGGAACGCCAAAATACAGCCCATGGATCCCCAAATCCCCCCAGGGCCTCCAGAATGCCCTTTGGGGACCAAAAATGGCACCAAGGACCCTCAGGTTGCCCAGAGAAGTGGTAAATGCCCCATCCCTGGCAGTGTTCAAGACCAGGTCGGACAGAGCCTTGGGTGACATGATCTCGTGCGAGATGTCCCTGTTTTCAGGGGATTAGAAATGGATGATCTTAAGGTCCTTTCCAACCCTAACTATTCTATGATAATACCCCTCACAGACCCCCCAGAACAGCTCAACGCCCCCAGACAGGCCCCCAGCAACCCTAAAACTCCACAGGAAACCCAAACTCCCCAGAGATCCCCAAACAGGGCTGTGGGGCCTTCCAAAACTCCCCCCCTAGAGATTCTTAAATGGCTTACAGCACCCCAAAATGGCCCCAGAAGAAGTCAAAATGGCCTCCAGAGACTCAAAAATGAGCCTCAGGGACCCCAAAATCCTTCTGACGTGAAAATAATCCCATGAGATGCATCAAAATCCCCCCTGGTGCCCAAAACTCTTTTGCACGGACCCCAAAACACACTTCAGGAGACCAAAAATGGCCCACAGAGACCCCAAAATACAGCTCAGGGTCCCCAGGATCGTCCCCCGCGGCACCAAAACCCCAAAGGAACCTCTCCAGCACCATGGTAGACCCCAAAGAAGTCTCAGGGGCCCCCAAATTCCCTCCAGAGAGACCCCCAAAATGAGGCTCACAGACACAGAATGGCTCAAAAAACAGTTTGGGGACTAAAAATAGCACTCAGGGACCCCAAAATGGCCCCCAAGGAGCCCCCAAATCCTTCTGACTCCAAAATAAAGCTAAAGAACCCCAAAAGTGGTCCTCAGGAACCCCTAAATTAACCCTTGGGGACTCCCCTGATCCTTTTGATCCAGATCCTTTTAACCCCTGAGGAGCCCCAAGCTCAGGGACCCCAGAATACCCCAAGAACCCCCAGATTCCCTTTGGGGACCCAAAATAGCCTCAGGGTCCCCCAAAATATAGCTAGAGGACCCCAAAACCTTTTAGTTTAATAACAAGTATATTTAAGATGACACGGGCTGTCCAAAGAATAAATCCTGCTTTGCAAAATGGGATTAAAACAAGCAGCACGTTTTTAAACGGAGCGAACAGACGCATCCACCTCCGAATCATAGTTCAATGTGTAGGACATCCAGCTGAGATGAAAGTAGTTTAGTCCTGTAGAATTCAGGACTGGAGTGAAATCAGTCTTTCTCTCTCTGTTCAGTAGCTCTCGTTGAACTTGTCCAACATAGTACGAACGGATAATAGCCAATCACTTATTTCTAATAGAAACGATTATCAGTCTGTGTTTTGGGGTTCACAGTCTGTTCAGAGTCAGTTCAAACAAGGTATTTCATAGCAGTTTTGTGGTGCCTCCAGGTTTTCATTCATGCTCAGGAAAGGCTTCCTGATAAATGGCCATGAGGAGAGCAGAGACAGAAGGGCACGCTGCAGCCCAGGCATGCACATGATGGCCATCCCCACCGCTCATGAGGTCCAGGTCTTCACAGGACCAGGGCTGCAGCGGAGAGCAAGACTAGTAGCCACAGACCTGCATTGGGTGCAGCATCCCACGACAGGGAGATAGGGCAGGATCCCCAGCGAGGGACCTGCGGCCCAACAGCACACAAGAGCACACGCACGGCACCCACCACCACCTGCAGCAGGATTGCATCGCATGTGCCACAAGAGACTTGGAAGTAACTTGGAAAAATGAAGGTACAAAAGAGCTATCTTAAGGTTGCACGATCCACCGAACGGAGGCCACAGTCCTCTACGGTGGTCATTGACATTTGTGTCTTGAGGATCTTTGATGTTCCCACATCCTGTCATTAGCGAATTCTCCTTTTATTGGTCAAAAGAAAGGCAGAACTGCAGTTCTTTATTCAAGTAACCTTCCTCCATGCTGCAAAAGGAGAGGCAAGGGGAGCAGAGCCCAGACGCATGGACTGCACGTTTGCACTTGACTGGAGCTGGCTCACAGGGGTGCAGCCAACACGACGTTTAAAACAGAGCTGCTGAAACCTCCTGCGTATCACGTCTTCACCCAAAGCAAGGACAGAAAGCCTGCACCCCCCTGCCCTAACCCCCCAAATGTGACTCTGCATCAGGGACTGTAGCAATAGGACAAGGTGTAAGGGGTTTAAACTGAAACAGGGGAAGTTTAAGCTCAGCGGCTCAGGGCAGCGCTGGGGCCACCACAGTGGTGAGCGAGCCCCTGGGGAGTTGGAGACAGAGACACACAATACAATAGGAATTACTTCCTCTGCCCTGATGCTGCTGAGTGTTATCCTCTGATGAGGACGATGTGGTGGCAGCTGTTTCAGTGATGTGCAGCGGCTGCGCTGCACTCGCTCTGCTTTAGGGAATGCCAGCTAAAATGGTTATCCCATCCCCTAAGACTTAGATTCTTGCTGTTGTTAGCCTTTCTGGAAAAGCAAATGAGGAGCAGAGGCAGAGGCAGCCCTCACATGAATGGTCAGGAGCCAAAAGCCCCCTTGCCCCGCCTCCTCAAAGGTGATTGTCTGTCCTGGGCCCACTGACAGCCATCAGGCAACGAGCTGGGCTTCCGGGTTCCCCTCTTGGGCGGGGAGCTGCAGCCGCGAGGCGAGGCCGCGGCCTGAGGACGAGGAGGGTTCCGGCCCTAAGGCGGCGGCTTCGGACACTGATCCGGTGGAGTGGATGCTGCGAGTTGCGCTGCGGGCCCTGGAGACATCGAGCCGGCGGCATTCCTCCCCTTTCCAGCGTCACAGAGCGCAGGCGGGGAGCGTGAAGGCGCTCCTCTCACCCACACGCCCTGGGGAGCCCTCTGAAGACAAAAAGACGAGGAAAACGTGCCCCCAAAATACAGGGGCTGTTTCTGCATTCAAATCACGGGCAGGAAGGTACCTCAAGGTGCCCCTGTGTGAAAATAACCCAGAGTTGATGTGAGCCTTTCTGGAGCATGAGCTTGTTGTACAGGAAGGGATGTGGAGGTGGGCTGGGCTGTAGAGCTGGGGCTCACATCCAGCACAGGAGCAAGCAGGCTGTGGCATCTTCATCCCTGGAGGTGGCTGCTGGGGACAAATGCCCCCCAGCAGACAGAAGCACCCACCCATGGGACACGACACCAGGGCACCTGCAGGCAGCGCACAGGGGCACCAGGGAAACACACACCCTTGGTGTGATCGTTTCAGCTTTATTGATGGAGTCAGGGCCGTGGTGCTGCGGTGGCACAGAAACATCGGTGGCCGGAGGGCTCTGCTGCTAACACTGGGCACAGGTCAGCAGCAGGTCCTCTTCAGAGAAAGCAACATGTCCTGGGAGCCTTTCCAAAGGGCCCTTGTAGCTGCTGTGAACTGAGGCCCCGTGACAATGATGGTAATGTTGTCATTGTGCAGCTCTGTAGCAGTTACTACCCAGAGTTTGGGTATCGTAAAGCATGCTCAGGGTACAGAGCCAGAGGTCCTTGCTGTCCAGGTGCAAAGTAGGAACGCTGCCACCTCTGATGGGAGGATACGGTCTGGTTTTGGAGGATGTTTCCCCTCGTGCAGAGGAGCAAAACCTGCTCCCCCTCATGTTGGACTTTGCCTCAAAACACAGTGCTGCCTTCCTGTCGTGACGTTGCCTGCTGCCGCTGATGTCACAAAGCACTGTTGGTGTTGAGGCAGACACAGCAGGGTGGAAGATCAGATGTCAAGAGACTGCAGCTCTTGAGGAAACAGACACCACAGTGGTTGGCTTGCTACTGAGCTAGCAAGATGCCTGTTGCCTGCACCTCAGTGCATAAAGAGAGAAAGTCATGGTGGAGCCAAGTTCTGAAAGGGTATGTTTGAACCCTCTGCAGAATGGGTTACGACCCTGAGCTTTCCTGCTTCTTGGAAGACCATAAGAGGACTGTTTATTTTTAATGAAGTGCATGCTGTGAGCCTGTTAGAACAAGCAGGAGGACCTTCCATCTTCCAGAGCGGTGTGTGCTGTCTCTGGGCAGATCAGGCTTCGTGGCACATTGGACTAGCCACCAAGATGTTTCCTTGGTATTTCCTTAGTTCCACATGGATTACCAGCATGCTTTTACATTCATCCCTCCCTCCATCTTCACCCAGTCTGCATTTGCCTGCATTTATGCAAAGAAAAGGGCCAGTGATAGCCTGGCTGCTAAAGAAATGCTGCTGAAGGGGAGATACAAAACCCCTCCTGCCTTGTGAGCTCTCGAACTGTCGGGGGATAGGCTGAAGCCTCTCTACCGCCACGGACATGAATTGTGGTCGCAGCTTTTGTTGCAAGTCCTTCTTCTATTCCCGAGTTAATCCAGAGCCCTTCGTCACTAACCCAACAGTGCCAGCTGCTGTTGTACCAAATACCCCGCTGGTGCTGTTGGTGACAACTCAGCTTATGCAGGACCAAGGCAATCCTCACTCCAGGAATGCTAGGTTCAAGACCTGCCGTCCCTACTGCTGCTCTCAGGTCTGCTGCTGAACTGCATGGGTGCCACCAGCTTCACCATCCTTTTCCTCTTTGCTGCTCCGTAGGCAAACGAAGGCTCTGAAGACAGTGGTGCTGCTGCTGCTCATGAGTCTGCTCTTGTTCGGTGAGTCTCGGTGGAACTCGGAGCTGAGGACTGTGCTTTAGGAGATAGGGCTCCATGCGCTCTGACCAGAGTAGCCCAGCAAAGAGTAGGAAGAACCGAGAGAGGTGTGCCAGTCCCCCACGCTTCAGAGGAATGGGTGCGGAGGCACGGAAGGGCTCAGCCACTTCTCTTAAGGCGATGGAGGGGCAGCGTCTAACCTCCCCTGCCCGCGGGAGCTGAAAAGCTTCTGCGGGACAAGGAGCATGTTCCGTGGGAAGGAATATCTGTGTACTGTGGAGCCCTCTTTCACAACCTTTTTCAAAGACTACAAGAGGAGAAACAACTATGGCACCTGGGAGAGCCAGGGAAAGGGGAGCCGAGGCGTAACCCAGCCTTAGACCAAGTTCTAAGTGTAAGGAGAGTTTTGGTGTGTGTCTAACAGGTGTTCACCACGTGGGACTGCTGGGTGAAGAAGGCCTCTGGAGGGCTGCAGCAGGATGCCAGGCCTTCATCTCCTCCTACATTCGGCATCCCCAACAGCAGGTGACGTTCAGGTTTCTTCAGATCGAGACTGGTTCTACCAGGACATAAAGTACCACTCAGTAAAACACTGTGGCTAGGGCTGGGGACAGTTGGCATCCTGGCAGGTCATTCAGGTGAAGGTCAGCTGGACCGAATATCAGTGTCTCCACAGCCCGTGGCACTGCACACAGCCGATGAAAAGAATTATTAGGCAGACTTGGGCCTGCATAGGTTCCAGCAAAGCACTGCTCTGTTGCCGTTTGTGATGACTGTTCCCTTCACTGTTGTTCCAGGAGTGTTTCCACCTCTCTGGATGGGACCAGAAGGCTCGGAGGTACAGATTATTTCCTCTTGACTCGATGGTGATTTAGAGGAGCTCTGCCCCTGGGCCTCACCAGGACATTGTTTCTGTCCTGCCTCACAGAGACTTCACCTAGCACAGCTTCCTGACCTTCTCCCGTTGCCCTTTCTTCCTGTCTGTCAAACGGTCACCTATAGCTCCCCACATCCACTAGAGGACTGGGGCCACCCATCTGTCACCCTTTTGCTTGGCCTGGGCTGTTTACAGCAAAGCAGGGGAGAGAGATGGTGTGGAGAAGAACCATCTGGCAGCAGCAGCCACCTTTCCCTTGCCCTCTGTGTGTCTTGCAGCTTTCCTTGTTTATGTCTGAGCTGTTCTAGTTAGTATTTTCTATAGGGAATACCACCTGCTGCCCTTCAGATCTGCTCTTGCCTGGCTTTGATAAGACATTGGCACATGTAATAGGGAGCGTGGCGTCTTTGGGCACACTGGAGGTGTTCCTCAGTTTCCCCAAATGTTCCCGGGCAGCCAGGAAGCTGCTGCTCAGCCTGAAACTCTAAGCACTTTGGAACTACCTCTCCCACCTGCTTAAGACATGCCTGCCCTGCCAGTCATTCAGAGCCAGGCTTCTTAACCTTGCTCGCACGCCCGTGGTGTTCCAGAGGCCAGCCACAACAGTTACAGTCTCTGTTTCTTGCTTTTCTAGGCCAGCAGGGAACGACATAGGAGAAGAACTGAGCAGAGCCCAGACCCTCAAAGAACAGCTCCAGAAGCTCCAGGAAGAGTTTTATCACCTGCATTGGAGCATAAAGGATGTCACCGAGCGTGCTCTCCATGAAGCCCTGAAGCAGTCTAAGCTCCCAGGCTTTTCTGGATCAGGAAGGGCATGCTGCAGAAGGCTCTCCTCAGAGGTTTCTTTCCTCCCTCCAGACTTTATCCTTCTACAGTTCCCTGTCCTGGCTAGCCAAAAGGCTGGCGTGGCTGGAACAAGTGCTGTGCGTGACCACGCTTCCTTTCCTCTTGCTCCACACTTCTGTATGGGGGAAGAGAGCGCCGTGATGGGAGTTACAGTTGCTTTACTTACACCTTCCTCAGAGTAGAGCAAGCCTGGGAGGTTTCCAGGCAATCTGGGCGTTCCTCACAGCTGAGTTGAACCTCATCCCCCTAACCCTTGGCTGGCCTTGCAGGGGAGATGATTGTCCCATTCCTTTCCCTGCTAACAGGCGCTTGCCTTTGTTCTCTTCCCCAGGCTGTTCAAGAGGTCATCAATCAAGTCTTGGAGAAGCTGGAAGAAAGCCAAGTCCCAGTGACTGATTACGCCCTCAGATCATCAGGTGCTGTGCCATTGTACACAGACTCGTTCCAAAGTGCTTCCTGTGCCCACTGACGAGATGGGCCCTGGAACAGGCTCAGTGGTAGGAGAGAAAGGGCAAGAAGTCAAGGGCCACAGCGTGCCCTAAAAATGTACCCATTGACGGACTCTGGAAGCGGCTGGACTCCATCTGAAGAGCAGAAAGCCTAGCTGACGTTGCAGCTGACATTACCACAGCCTGATGAGTCCCTGCTCTGTGTTCCAGAGGGGTCACGCCAGGAAGAAAGAGGGGAATCTCACTGCAGGAGATGGAGGACTACTTAAAAGCATTTCTCAAGTGAACAGTGCAATATTCCTCCTGACACTGCTCAATGATCGTGCTCATGTTTTAATTTCCAGGGGCTGCTGTCATTCCCGAATGCACAAGTCCATCCTTCCGGAATAGGGCAGAAAAAGTCATCTTGTATTCCCTGCCACTGGTGGATTATGTGAGATCTCCTGAGCTTATTCTTGAGGTAGGAGCACCAAGAAGCAGGAAAAAAAAGCAAAAGGGGGGGTGGGGGGGATGCGCACATGCTGCTGAGAGCTGCCTTTACCCTTATCTTTGCTCCTCAAAGCTTTCTTTTCCTGTCACATTCTTGTATGGACCCACTCACTGTCCCCCTGCTGAGTATTTCCTCTCCCAGACTGCCTCAGGTCCTCCGTTTGAGCTTCTAGCAGGCAGGCTTGGTCCTGCAGCCTTTGTCTTCCTCGTCCCTGTGCAAACTGTCAGCATGGCTGAGAGCCTGCACTGCTGGAGGGCCCCACTCTGTGTTGGCAAGCCCTCCTTGGCACTGATCGTGGGAACACACCCAGCTGCCTGCCTTCACAGTGCTTCTGCAGTGCTGAAGGGGTCTTGTAACATGTGGATTCTCACAACGGCTGCTCCGTTTGGTACTGGCAGGGTCTGACCCAAGGCATTGGATGCTGTTTGGAGCAGAGCTGATGGGCCAGATCAGTTCTTACTCCATGATGCTCATGGCAGAAACGAAAGCCGGGGCACTCTTCTCCACGGGAACGTACTTTCTTCTTCTCCTTTCAGAAGGAAAATCATCTAGGAAACTGCTGGCCCTTCCACGGAAGTCAGGGACACGTCCTCATCAAGCTCTCTGTGCCAGTCATTCCCAGAGCAGTCACCATGGACCATGTCTCAGGGCCAGAGCTCCATGGAGACAGTATGTCCAGTGCTCCAAAGGACTTTGCTGTCTACGTAAGTGATTTCTCTGAGTTGGGGGCAGAGGGTTGCTCAGCATTTCTAAGCAGGGGGTGAAGACGGGTCAGAACCCAGAGGCCTGCGGCTCCCTCTTGCCTTGCAGAAGAAACAGGCTCCTTGGAGTTGCTCCCTTTCCACTGGATTCCTCTTTTATCCAATATAGCACACAAACGGAAGCTTCTGGGCCAAGACTCTGTGTGCCCCAGGAGCCACAGGGAAAATGAGCTGGCACAGTGTCTGCCCCTTGGAACTTCTTGGCTCCCAACGCCAGTGAGCATTGGTGATCCTCAGGGATCGTTACCCTGGGAATGTCTGCTCCTTTTCTGACAGCCTACACTCGTTAAGTAGGCAAGTGTGGCAGCATGCTGGCTAGCTTCAGCTTCTCGTCTTTTCCTTGTGATTATCTTCCTTGGACTATGCAGATGAAATGAATCAGGACTTCACCAACAGAAGTTAAGTCTTCCCATGGTGGACCAGGGCACTCATGTTTTCTCCACCCCATCTTTCTCTAGGGGGTGACGGAAGAAAAGGAGGAGCAGTTCCTGGGACAGTTTGTTTTCCTGGCACCACTGAATCCCACCCAGACCTTTCGGCTAAAGGTACGGGGACAAAGAGGGAGGAGAACAGAGAGGGGAGGAGAGCAGAGGGGAGGAGAGGAGAGCTGCACTTTGCTGGGGAGAAGCTTCCGTGCCAAAGGGCTCGAGGCAGCATTCTCCCGGAGAATGCCATGTGCCATGCTGTCCCTCCTTCTGCTTTAATCTCCTAATGGCATATGCCTGGAATGCATTCTGCTTCACTTTTGGTTTTAAGCTTCAGTGCTGACAACCACCGGTGCTGAAGCTGAAATCAGCTTGGCTGTCTGGACTCCAAGTGCCTACAGGTGGCCACATCCACTCGGAAGACACTGCTACTGGCCTGCTCGTTAAAGACTAGAAATACGGGGCTTTCTGAGGATGCTGTTGTTTCTGGTATCGAGGCCAGCTAGACAGCGAGGCCATTCTGTGCCATGGCTTTCTAGAGAAGGCAATGAGACATGATAGGGACACCACTGGGTCTTCTGACAGGGGAAGCATGTGCCCCAAAGTAGGCTAGAAGTGATTGCCAATCGAGTCAGTACAATTTCAGGTAGATTCCTGAAATTTCCTTTCCTGTTCTTTTGGCCAAATGAGGTAGAGCAGTGGAAGAATGTCTCGGCCACAACCCTCCCAGGGCAGTCAGGTGTTGAACAAGTCCATTGCTGCAGCACTACGTCAGTAGTTGAATGCCAGAGAGCAAAAGACAACTCATCTCTTCTCTTCCTTTCAGAACGAGCTCTCCGGGTTTGTGAATTACATCCTGCTGCAAGTGCTGAGCAACTGGGGCCACCCGGACTACACCTGCGTGTATCGGTTCAGGGTGCACGGTGATCCTCTCAGCGAGGAGGGGAAGGTGCCACTTCGATCTGACAACAAAGCTCCTTGATTGTCATTGAGTGTTTTGCCTGTGATAATAAAGCTCCTTGATTGTCATTGAGTGTTTTGCCTGAGATGCTAACGGGTAAGAGAATTCCTGCCCTTCTCTCCACCCACAAGCTTATGGGAGACTTCCCTGGAGGGAGAGGTGATGGGAAAAAGGACTAAGAACTGTTTCCTACGGACACATTAGTTTGGGGGGTTACACACACAATGTGTGTGCAGTTCAAGTGAAAAAAGGCTCCCGAAGACTCCAAAACGGGCAATAGGGAACCCCAACGTTTACCCTTAAAGGCTCCCCCCATCTTTTTGACCCCAGTATAGTCCCTGGGTCCCCAAAATATAGACCAGGGACCTCCAAATGCCAGCTCAAGTACTCCTAAAATGCCCTTTGGGGACCCAAAATGGCCCAGGGACCCCAATATACCCCTCAGGGACCCCCCCAGATTGGCCTTAGGGACCCCAAAATTTACACCCAGGGATCCCCCAAATCCTTTTGATGCCAAAATAACCCCTGGGGAACGCCAAAATACAGCCCATGGATCCCCAAATCCCCCCAGGGCCTCCAGAATGCCCTTTGGGGACCAAAAATGGCACCAAGGACCCTCAGGTTGCCCAGAGAAGTGGTAAATGCCCCATCCCTGGCAGTGTTCAAGACCAGGTCGGACAGAGCCTTGGGTGACATGATCTCGTGCGAGATGTCCCTGTTTTCAGGGGATTAGAAATGGATGATCTTAAGGTCCTTTCCAACCCTAACTATTCTATGATAATACCCCTCACAGACCCCCCAGAACAGCTCAACGCCCCCAGACAGGCCCCCAGCAACCCTAAAACTCCACAGGAAACCCAAACTCCCCAGAGATCCCCAAACAGGGCTGTGGGGCCTTCCAAAACTCCCCCCCTAGAGATTCTTAAATGGCTTACAGCACCCCAAAATGGCCCCAGAAGAAGTCAAAATGGCCTCCAGAGACTCAAAAATGAGCCTCAGGGACCCCAAAATCCTTCTGACGTGAAAATAATCCCATGAGATGCATCAAAATCCCCCCTGGGGCCCAAAACTCTTTTGCACGGACCCCAAAACACACTTCAGGAGACCAAAAATGGCCCACAGAGACCCCAAAATACAGCTCAGGGTCCCCAGGATCGTCCCCCGCGGCACCAAAACCCCAAAGGAACCTCTCCAGCACCATGGTAGACCCCAAAGAAGTCTCAGGGGCCCCCAAATTCCCTCCAGAGAGACCCCCAAAATGAGGCTCACAGACACAGAATGGCTCAAAAAACAGTTTGGGGACTAAAAATAGCACTCAGGGACCCCAAAATGGCCCCCAAGGAGCCCCCAAATCCTTCTGACTCCAAAATAAAGCTAAAGAACCCCAAAAGTGGTCCTCAGGAACCCCTAAATTAACCCTTGGGGACTCCCCTGATCCTTTTGATCCAGATCCTTTTAACCCCTGAGGAGCCCCAAGCTCAGGGACCCCAGAATACCCCAAGAACCCCCAGCTTCCCTTTGGGGACCCAAAATAGCCTCAGGGTCCCCCAAAATATAGCTAGAGGACCCCAAAACCTTTTAGTTTAATAACAAGTATATTTAAGATGACACGGGCTGTCCAAAGAATAAATCCTGCTTTGCAAAATGGGATTAAAACAAGCAGCACGTTTTTAAACGGAGCGAACAGACGCATCCACCTCCGAATCATAGTTCAATGTGTAGGACATCCAGCTGAGATGAAAGTAGTTTAGTCCTGTAGAATTCAGGACTGGAGTGAAATCAGTCTTTCTCTCTCTGTTCAGTAGCTCTCGTTGAACTTGTCCAACA